TCGTGGGGCTGGCCCTTGCTCCACCCCCAACCCCCAGCCCCTGGTGCTTCTCCTTCAAATGATCGGGTCACTGGTCCACCCAGAGCCTCAAAAAGTCAGTGGAGAGGGACCTGCTGATTGGATGACTCAGACCTGAAGTGTGAGGACTGGGATGTCTTGGCCCAGAGTGGAGGGGAGGCGGTTTTCCAATAAGAGCCGGGGACTGTTATCCCAGAAGGGAAATTGGGCTATAGGGGCGACGAGGGCAGCAGGCGTCTTGCTTCCTTGTCTGACAGATGAGGAAGGTTAAGGGCAGGGCTGCTTCCTGCACGGGGTGATTCTGTGCAGCCTGAGCTCAGCGCCTGCCCAGCAGGTGTTGTTATTTTCTGTCCGTTGTTAGCACTCACCCAGAAAGAGGAAGACAGGGGAACCAGAGGTATGGGAGCACAGAGCTGCTGGCCAAGCCAACCCAGCGCTGGCTCTGTAGACCCTGAGCATCAGGCACTGAGCACTCTGAAAATCAAGCTCCCTGCTGCCTTCCAGTCGATAGAGGGTAGGGCAGAACTGCCTCCGTGAATTTTCTGAAGCCCTGTTTTTCTTCTGTGGAACAGCTGACCTTGGGGTTTGCAGCCCAACACGCATAACCACTACACCACCAAGGACTGAGCCCAGGGCAACATCAAAGGGTGGCCCAGCAGTTGAGGGCTCCTGGGAGGAGAAACCTAGGTGCGGGGGCTGGGGGAGGTGTTTTCTGGGCCCCTCTAGGGTGGTTTCCTGGGCCAGATTCCTCGCAGAGCCATGCCTGCCCTTTCCAGGATTCCCTCCCCCTGGGTTGAACTGGACCCCTGGTGGCGCAGTGGTTAAACATTGGGCTGCTAACTGAAAGGTCACAGGTTTGGACCTACCGCTGGTGTGTTTCAGTCTGATGTGGCAGTCTGTTTCCGTAAAGATCTACAGCCTTAGAAACTCCATCGGACAGCCCTGCTCTGTCCTACAGGGTCGCTGTCAGCGGGAATGGACCCAGGGGCCATAGGCGGGGTTTGGGCCAGTGCAGCACCCACGAGCAGCCAGCTGCATGTGGAGGGAAGAGCCCAGGGAAAACCTGGCTCGGGATTGTCCCTTGAGCCATGGGTGATGGGCTCTCTTAGTGACCCACCTCTTCCTTCTCTCTCTTTCTCTCTCTCTCTCTCTGGGGCCCCAGCATTTGAGATCTCACGCCCCAGCCATCCACGTAGAAAGGGAATTGCCACCCTTGCCTCCTTGCCAAGGGGTTTCCTATAGAATAGACTCTCCAGACCCTGCCAGGTGCAGGGGTGGGGGCGGTCAGTGTGGGCAGCAGGATGGGTGGCCCTGGTGGCCTGACTGCCTGGCTGCTTCCTGTAGCAGTGAAAGTCCTCTAATCTCTTCTCCTTCTGCCCTCTCCCTGTGCAGCCGGGCTTGGAGGGCAGGGCCGTCAGCTGGCTGTGAGCAGGAAGTGAGCTTTGCCGCGCCAGGCAAGCAGGCTCCTTCCTCGGTAAGCTTTTTGCAGACCATCTCCTTCCCTGAGTCTCCGTGTCCTGACCTGCCCCCAGCGCCCGTTGACCAATTTCCTTTCTTGGCTTTCCATTGTCCTGGACGTTTCTGGACTCTGGATGCTGCTGCTGCTGGCAGGGGGGGAGGGGGGGATGACTGGGGTTGATTAGGGTGTCTGCTGCTAGAGGCACCAGGAGGCCCAAGGTGCCACAAATGATTAAGTGACCTCTTACTGAAAGGTGGCCGATTCAAACTCAGAGGTGTTAGAAGGTCTTAAAAGCTGCTCAAACTTTATTCTTGGCCAGTGTACTCTGACCTCTGTTCTGTTTCCTTAACAGAAGTCAGGCAGGGAGTTGAATCAAATAAAAGCACTACACAGATCTAGTGACCCGCTTCAGAAAGTTCACGGACTTGAACACCCTCCAGAGCCATTCTTTGGAACCAACGCATTCAGCCAGCGCTGCCTGTCCCCGCACCCATGCCACGTACCTCGCATACTTTGCCCTGCTTAGTGCCCACCTCAGCCCTCCCGGGCTGCCGTGTCGTTTGGGTCACATACCGAAGTTCAGTGGCTTTCCCTGGGCCGCACAATGTCAGGATTAGAATTTGAATCCAGACTCACTTGACCGCAGAGCCAGGTGGTTGTGCCCCAGCGGGTTGCTGGGGGCGGGAGGAGTAGCTTGGATTCGTGCGTGAGAGGCTTCACCAATTTCCTGGGGAAGCAACATGGGAAGATCTTGAGGTTCTTCCGAAGCCCCGTTGTATTGTGTTCACTCCGTCGTCACCCGTGGGCCCCTTCCAGAGGAAGAGAGTCGGAGAGAAGATCGGGAGGAGCCCGGCTGGCATGGTGGGCTACGTGTTGGGGGCTAGCCACAAGGTCAGCAGTTTGAAACCCCTGGCTGCTCCACGGGAGAAAGAGGAGGCTTTCTCCTCCAGTGGGGACTCCACAGTCTTTAGAAACTCACAGGGGTGGTTCTTCTCGGCCCTATTCGATGGCAGGGGTTTGCGTCCCTGTCGGTGAGTGACGAGTGAGCCCACAAAACCAAGCCCCCCACGGCTGACAGTGAAGCAGTGGAGGATTCCTGTCGTTTGGGAAGTGCGTCCCCTGTGAGGCAAATTGGTTTATCTACCCTGGTCACGTGCACGATGGGGAACTGAGACCTCGAGAGAGGACAAGACCTGTCCCCAAAGCCGAGCCGCTAGGTGGTCAGGAGTCAGATTAGGACTGAATGTCTCCATTACAAACTCTTAAAAATGCTCGAAGTTTATTCTTGGGCAGTGTATTCTGATCTCTGTAATTCAGTCTGGGAGTTTACTCAAATAAAATCAATAAAAAAAGATTTCCCAGGCTGGATTGCTTCATGGCCACACTCAGGAACTTCAGATCCAGATTGCCCTGGCTCTAGATCTTCTCAGAGACAGCACTGGGAATGAGGAGGGGCACACAGGAATTGCAGTTTGGGAGTTTCCATAATGATGAAGATGGTGATGGTGGTGGTGGTGGTGGCAGTCATGGAGGAGGTGGTGGGAGTGGCATTGAAGGAAGTGGTGGTGGTGGTAGTGAAACTGGTGTTAGCGATGATGGAGAAGGTGGTGGTAGTGGCGATATGGGTGGTGGTGGTGGTAGTGAAATTGGTGGACGTGGTGGTAGTGAAATTGGTGGCAGTGGCAGTGAAGGAGGAGGAGGTGGTGGTAATGGTGGTGGTGACGGCCATGATGGCAGTGGTGCTGATTGCATTGATGGTGGTGGTAGTGATGGTGCCAGTGGTGATGAAGACTTCCCATTCACCACACCGTGAAGGAGAGGCAATTCATTGTCCTATAGAATCCTCTAGTTCACTTACCCGAGTAGCATTCCCAGTTCCTCTGAGTGGCACTTTCCATCTTTTGTTCCAAACTGGGACTTGCCACGGGGCTGGGACCTTGTCAAAGGAGACCCGCCATCATGCAGTGTTCCTTGGGTCTGCGTCTCTTTGGCTGCACACCCTTTTCCTCCTGTTCCCCTTGGGGGGCGGGGGGGGGGCGTCTTGCTGACCCTGGCCTGCTTGTCTCCCCAGGACTGGAACCTCACGTGGCACACCAGCAACCCCGACTTCACCAAGTGCTTTCAGAACACGGCCCTCATATGGGTGCCTTGTCTTTATCTCTGGGCCTGCTTCCCCTGCTACTTCCTCTATCTCTCCCGGCATGACCGGGGCTACATCCAGATGACACATCTCAACAAAGCCAAAACGGTAAGTCCTGGGGGGTTTCAGCATGGTGCGGTGGGGGGAGGGTGGTTGATGAAAATTGACCTTTTGTTTCACCATGATTGGCCGGGAGTCCCTTTCTCTAGAAGGCAGAATAATAATCATGTGTGGATAGGAGCTGAAGGGTTCAAATACTGCCTCAACCACACCTTTCTTTACCATGGTGCCATGGGGCTGGCGACAATCAAACACAGAGAACTGCCCCACGTGCTTGTAGGTTAAGCTTTCGGTGGCTAGCCACAAGGTGGCTGGTTCAAAGGCACCAGTCACTCTGCTGGAGAAAGAGGAGGCCGCCTGCGCCCATGAAGATGTACAGCCCTAGGGACTCGGAGGCTGTTCTCCTGTGTCCTCCAAGGTCACCGTGGGTCAGCAGGGACTTGACGGCAGTGGGCCTCATGGTGGTTTTGTCTGGAGGGCCTTTGGGTGCTCCGGTTTGTCAGACATGCGTGTGCTTCTCTTGCAGGCCTTGGGGTTTTTGCTGTGGATCGTCTGCTGGGCAGACCTCTTCTACTCTTTCTGGGAAAGAAGTCAGGGCGCGGTCCTGGCCCCGGTGTTGCTGGTTAGTCCAACCTTCTTGGGCATTACCATGGTAAGTGTGAGCGGGACGGGAAGCCCCTGCCTGCCTGCCAGGCGGGTGGAGAGCAACCGTCGTGAGGGCAGTTAGCCAAGCGAAGGTGGCACAGTAGCCACTCAGAAGTCCTAGCAGCCTCTCTTGAGAAGCCCCAAGAGTCAGCAGCCCTGAACTCAGAGGTTGCTTTCTTGGCAAGAGCCCGCAGGAGAGAGGCTGCTGCCGTCTTTACCATAGTCCCCGCCCGGCCCTCTTGGCCTCCTGACCCCGAATCTGAGCGGCAGATGTCATTGTTGTGTTTCATTGTGGTTACCGCAGTCTCATCTTTCTTGAGGTTAACTGTCTTGAGTTAAGCAACCTCCTGAGCTCTCAAGCACTGGCTCAGGGTGTGGGGAATGCCAGGATGGAGCGGACACTACCCTGCCCTGCTTTTGGGAGCCACAGTTCAGGAGGAGACACAGACGAGGAAACGGGTCTGTTATCTGCAGCTGACCCGTCGCACGTGCTTGCTGGGTGCTGGCCACTCTTCCTGTGTTTGACCAGCTGACCCGAAAGGCGGCCTTTGTGAGGTCTGGCTGCTTGCGCTTCCATTTCACAGGTGGGGCACTTGAGGCCCGGAGACGGGAAGTGCCCTGCTCTGGTGGCGCAGCTCCCAAAATGTGGGTGTGGGAACTCTGCCATCATTTCATCCCATTGTCCCCTGAGCGTTTTGAAGGCCTCGGTGAAGTGCAGTGTATCACCTCCCGCGTCCTGTCCTGACCATGGCCTGCAGAGCTCTGGATTCCAGGCTGTTTCCATGGGAGGGCCCTGCGGAAGGTTCTCGGAGACACAGTGTAGGTCTGCTAATGGAGGGGGGGGTGGGTTGGGGGCAAGATGTACTGAGCAGAGAGAACGGTTTGTTCTCAGAAGTCTGGGAGGTACAAGGAGCATTTTAGGGAGGAGGAGGAGGAGAGAGAGGTGGACAAGCAGCTCTGTGAAGCAAGAAGATGGATTAGAGGATTGGCAAATTCGATTAAAAATGGGTCAGAACCAGAGGATGTACACTGGTACAGATAGGAACTGAAAATAC